CGGAGCAGTTCTCTCATCCACAACAAAATTCTCCCTCGCTTCGTTACTCCTAACAGGCAATCGGAATCCTCAGCGGAGCATATCTTCTCAATCCCACACCTTTCCGTCCTTCGGCCCTTCCATGCAGAGTTGAATCCTAACGCTGCGCCATCTTTCTCATGCCCACCGCCTTATCCCTCCTTCGTTATTCCCACAGGATTGAATCCTAACGGAGCAAGTCTTCTCATCCCACACCTTTCCCTCCTTCGCCCCTCCATTTGCAGAATTGAATCCTACGTCGCCATCCTCTCATCCACATAACTTTCCTCGCTTCGCTTATTACCTGCGCAGAATAGACAATCCTACGGAGCAGTCTTCTCATCCATGGACCTTTCCTCGCTTCGTTATTTCCTGCAGAATTGAATCCTTACGCTCGTCCCATCTGTCTCAATCCGAACATCCTTTCCATCCCTTCCGTTATTGCCTGCAGAATGAGAATCCTACGAAAGCACGTCTTCTCATCCCACACCTTTCCCTCCTTCTGAACTCCTACGAAGTTGGAACTGCCTATCGCTCATCTTCTAAATCTCGCATACCTTTCCCTCCTTCGTTATTACCTGCAGATATAGATTATCCTATCGGAGCAGTCTTTCACTATGCAATAACACCCTTTCCCCTCGTCTGAACTCCCTACAGAATTGAATCTCTACGTCGCTCAATCTTCTCTAATCTCCACCGCTTTCTCCTTGCATTAGTTAATTCCTGGCAGAATTGAATTCTACGATCGCCCATCTTCTACATCCATACCTTTTTTCTCTCCTTCGTTTATTCCTCAATTTGAACTCTACGTCGCATTCGTTCTCCATCTCACTCTTTCCCTCCTTCGTTATTCCTGCAACGAATTGGAAATCCATACGTCGCCATCTTCTCATCCGCATACCCTTTCCCTCCTTCGTTATTCCTGGTCATGAATTGAATTCCTACGTCGCCATCTTCTCATTCCAACTTACTTTCCTCCTTCGTTATTCCCTGCAGAAATTGAATCCTACGCCTTCGCACCATCAGTTCTCATCCGATACCTTTCCTCCTTTTCAGTTGATTCCTGCAGAATTGAATCCTAACGTCCGCCATCCTTTCATCCGCATGACGCTTTTCCCTCCTTCGTTATTCCTGAGAACTTTGAATCCATAGTAAGCAGTCTTCTCAAATCCATATCCTTTCCCTCCTTCGTTAATTCTAGCGCAGAATCGAACTCCTACGGAGCCATCTTTCCATACCATACCTTTTCCCTCCCTTCGTTCATTCTGGCAGAATCTTCAATGCCTACGGTCGCCATCTTTCATCCACACCGTTGTCCCTCCCTTCGTTATTCACTGCAGCCAAATGAATCCTACGGCAGCCTAGCTCTTCTCAATCACTGCCCCACTCGCCTTTCCCATCCTTCGTTATTCGCTGCAGGCCAATGCCGAAATTTCCTACGGTATTGCAGTCTTCTCATCCCACATCCTCTTCTCCTCAGCTTCGTTATATCCGCAGAATTCAAGTCCTATACGGAAGCAGTCTTGCTCATCCACACACCTTCTCCTCCTTACGTTTATTCCCTGCCAGCAATTGAATCACTACGTCGCCCATCATTCTCAGTCCGCACACCCCTTTCCCATCCTTCGTTATTTCCTGCAGAATGGAATCTCTAGTTTCGCCATTTCTCATCCCCAAACATCCTTTCCCTCTTCGGTTATTCTGCCAGAATGAATAATCCTACGGAAGCCATCTTCTCATCCATACCTTTCGCCTCCTTCGTTATTCCCTGCAAAGAAATTTCAATCCTACGGAGGTCCAGAACTTCTCAATCCCACAACCTTTCCTCCTTCCGATATTATTCTCGCAGAATCGAAATCCTAGAGGAGCTAAGTCTTCTCAATCCATACCCTTTTCCCTCCTGCTCGTTATTTCTCTCGCAAGAATTGAATCTCTACGCTATGCAGTCTTCTCGATACCGCAGTACTTTACCCTCCTTCGGTTGATTCTTTCTGCAAGAATCGAATCCTACGGAGCCATCAAACCAATCTAATAAATCGACTTGCACAAAAAATAATCTCGGTACAAAATCCACGTGTATTAAGAAAAAAACCGAAAAATAAAGATAGAAAAATCACTTGAAACTGAAAAGCACTAGTAAATCAGATAACGAAACCAAACTCCTTACTAAAACAATCCCCGGAATAAAAAAAGATAAGGTCACAAAATCACTTCCAAACACCCAAATCCAAATGAACAGAAAAACACACTCAAGCTCCAAAATTAACAGAATCAAGCGAGAACCAATCACACTCGCAATAACAATAATAAATAATAAGAAAAAGAAAGAAAACAAGAATAAGAGCGCCACAATCTATAATCCGCACAGTACCATGGAGAAAGATCACCTAAATATCTCACAACATGGTCTGGGACAAAAATATCGGTGACGTAACCAATAGATCTCAGAAAGTCACTCCGATCACGACATGAACAAAAAAAGAATATTAGTAGAAACATGAGTATAAAATATAATATCTCCGCCCCCATAAAGCAATCTATTATAATATATAAAATTGAAAAGAGAATGTCCTTTCCCAAAATTCCCAAAGAAATTAAAGTATCCTGAGTGACGATATAATCGACATCCCCTGGAAAAATATATCTTGAACAAGAGTCAACGATGACAATGATTATTAAGTAAAAAATCCAAAACAAGTAAATAAAAAATAAAGAAAAAAAGTAAAAATTCCAACAATATGACAAAAAAATGAGATGTTCATAAAAGCAAGCAAAATTAAATAATTAGAAATGTGCCAAATAAACTGAAATGTGAAATCCTATCTATCCATAAATACATAAGAAAGAGAAATCCCTCACATCCATCCAAAAAATCACAGTAACTATAAAATTTCAAAGCATCAAGTTAAGCATCTAAAAACCAGACAACAGGAATTAAACAGTAAAGGATGTATTAACATGAATAAAATAATCAAAAAATTGAAGGAGAATTAATCCTAGACCAAAATTAATTCTGAGATCTTAAAATGACAATCCCCCAACAGATTCCATACAAAAAATCAAAAAAGATCGAAAAAGATATATGAACAACGTGATCATAATCACGATCATCTCCCACCAGAGTAATATTGTAAGCAAATAAATAATATGAGAAACAAAAAAGATCCCCGATCCAGAGATATATCAAGTTGCATGAAATCAATAATATTTAATTAATTATTTTTCTGTATTTAATATTATAATTATTATTTTTATGTAGTATTGATCTCATCAGTGTATAAAAATCAAGAAAATTAAAAATCCCCAAAAACTTATAAACAAGGATTAATTAAGAATAAAAAAATCATAAAAATCCTCAATAGAAGAATCCCGATTAATCAAAATAGAAATGAAGTAGTATAATAGATAAAAGAAATCCTCCTAATCCCCGATACAATCCTAAAATATAATCAAAACACATCCCTCTCAAATCATCCAAAATACATCGAAGAAAACGGACCTGTGAACAAATATTAAGATCCCTAATATAAAATGTCCATGAAATCCCATAAAAAAAAACAAATATCTCAAAGATCTTAAAATCCAAAATTATTAATCACAAATTTAGAGTAACCGAAAGAACGAGATAAGAAAAAATCTTTTCAATCAGGAAATTACTATCCCCCCAATCCCCAAAGCAATGAATCCATCTAATGTAAATATAACATCCAAAATATACCAGTCAGAAATCTCCCCCCTCGAGAGAATAAAAAAAACATAATCAATATATCATAAACAAACAAAATAAAATCCGAAATCCCACCCCAAACGAAGAAGAAAAAAGACATCAAACTATATTAACAATAACAAATAATTCCCCGCCAAAAAATAATCACAGACAAAGATAAATAGCAGAAATCAAATCCCTTAAATCCATAAAACACATCCCCTCCCTCCAAGAAAATGTACATCCCATAGATCCCAGAAATCGATATCTACATTCCTAAGTTATAAAAAGCAAAATCCCCTCCCCTATAAAAGCCTAGTACATTCAACTAAAAAAGCACATGATGATTAGATCAAGCATCAAATCCAATTTTATAGATCTAAGATCGATCATCCATATAAGATAAATAACATATGTAACAAAATATGACCATCCCCCCGCGAACAGGAATATCCCCCCCAAACAAAGATCTAGATCGCCCCAAAATCATATCATCCCAAAAATATGATAATCCCCATATAATTAGAAAATAATCCACATATATAATAAAATCATGAAATTACATATATAAGATCCAAGATCATATAATCAAAAATAATCATCCCCCCAATCCCCCCCATAAATCCCGCCCTAAAATCCCACCTACATCTATGTCCCCCATCGAAATAAATCAAAAAATTCACAGTTAGAAATCCATACAGAAAGATATCCAGTTCCCCGTATCATTCCCCGCCTCTAAATAATATCAAAAATATAACCATAGATCAATTATCAATAAGTAGTCCATCCCAATCCCGGTTGTCCGAGGACCAACACATAAAAAGCATTCCCCCTTTCCACCCCCTATCTCCTCAATAAAGTCCCACAAGCCATCCCCAGGATACCAAATATATCTCATTCCCCCCATAATTCATGACAGTCCCACAAATCGCTGTGAGTGATATAGAGAATACAACAGAGCAGATCGGGAAAAGGTCCATATCATCGTCCCCTATAAATACAAATAAATATCATCCCTATCAATCCACAGACTAACAGGAAATATAATTAATCCAACAATACATATATCAAAAATCTTCCCCAAGAAGATCGAATTAGTGTATTGCCGCGTTCTGTCATCCCTATTACTCTCCCTCCTTCGTTATTCTGCAGAATTCATCTTACGGAGAGTTCTTCTCATAGCATAACTTTTCTCCTCCATTCGTAATTAGTTACTGCAAATTCAATCTACGGGAGCAGTCTTGCTCATCCATAAGCGCTTTCCTCCTTCGCCCTCCAAGCAGAATGGAATCCTACGGAGCATCTTCTCATCCCACACTTTCTCCTTCGCCCTCCGCATGCAAGTCGAATCCTACGGAGCAGTCTTCTCATCCCATACCTTTCCCTCCTTCGCCACTCCAGGCAGAATTGAATCTACGTCGCCATCTTCTCATCCACCCTCTCCTCCTTCGTTACTCCTACAGGATCGAGTCCTGCGCTGCGGGACCACCACAGCCTCCTACTTCGCCTCCATGCACTTAGAAGCCACCAAGATCCTAAGTGACATCATCCTGGAGCGAGGTCAGAGGGCGCTCGTGGGAAAGGTCAACATGATGGTCAATTGTCCGGATTATTACAGAGAATTGTCGGTCGAGGATTCGGTTAAGAAGACTGAGGAGTTTATCCTGTATGTAAGGAGCCTGAAGGTGAGGTGCCGGGGTTTGCAGTGTGTTGTATTTTGATTTTATTTTTAAATTATGAAAGATAGTTTTTTTTTATGGAAAGATGGTATTTATTTATTTATTTTTTATGGAAAGATAGTATTTTTTTTTTTATGGAAAGATAGTATTTATTTTTTATGGAAAGGTAGATATATTTTATCATCTTATAATTCTTAACAGTCTTTCTTGTTGATGCTTGACCCCGACGATAATGATAATAGAAATATTGAATAGATATTAGTTAGTTGAATAAGAAATGATAGTGATATAATAATAATTGAAGAGGATAATATGATGATAATAATAATAATGATAATGATAATAATATAATGATAATGATGAATTTTATAAACTAAAAATATAATACCATACGCCTAAGAAATAACAGCACATAATCATAATGAAAGAAGATAATATGATGTAATCTGAAATAAAAATGAATAAGACATTCCCACTTACCCTCCCTCCTCCCCACTCCCCTCCAGTCCCTTGGTCAACCCATCGTGACGCCGAGATTCGCCCACCTGCCCAGAGACCAGCTGGAGAGACTGGGCCAGCTGGCAGCCAAGCACCAGTGCACATCCAGAGCCACCTGTGCGAGAGCCGGGCGGAGAAAGCCTGGGTGAAGGACTGTTTCCGGGACGAAGAACTAACGCTGAGTGTTATGACAGCACGGGACTGCTGACGGAGAAGGTGTGTGGAGGGAGTGGAGAGACGTGGCGTGCGTGCGTGTGTGTGTGTGTGTACGTGTGTGTGTGTGTTGCGTGTACGTGTGTGCGTGCGTGTGCGTGTGTATGTGCGTGTGTGTGTGTGTGTTGTGTGTGTGTGTGTGTGTGTGTGTGTGTGTGTGTTTTGACTCTGGCAGTTTATTTGAGGACAAAAGCGAAGGCGGAAGAATATGTTGTGTGTGTGTTTGTGTTTTATTCGAAGTTTATTTGACATAAAAGCGAAAAGGGGATGATAAAGGGGAAGAGGGTGAGGGATAGATAGAAGGGGGAGAGAGAGAGATAGAGAGAGAGAGATGAGATGAGAGAGAGAGAGAGAGAGAGAGATGAGAGAGTATATTACATCCAAATAAAATCGCCATCACCTTTCTGTCTTCTGTCGAATAACAAGAATACAATCCACTTCTGGTCCGAAAATCTACTAACGATGATTCTTTGATCTCTCTTCCCCTCCCCCCTTCCCACCCTCTCCTATACTCCTTTCTTACCCCCCTTACCCTTCCCTACATCCCCTTCCTGTCCCTTCTCCACTTCCCTCCCTCACTCCTCATCCTCCCCCTCTCCCCTTCTAATCCTCTTCCCCTCTCCTCCCCTCTCTCTCCTTTCTCTCCCTCACCTCTCTCACAACCTCCCCTCACCCCTCTCCCCTTCCCCTCCCTCTCCCCCCCCCTCCCCCTTCCCTCCTACCTCCTCCCCTCTCCCTCCTCTCCACCCTCTCCTCTATCCTCCCCTCTCCTATCCCTCCCTCTCCACCTCTCTCCTCTCCCTTCACCCCTCCCTTCCTCTCAATCCTCCCCCCCCCCTCAGACCGTGATGGCCCACTGCGTGTACCTGGACGACGACGAAGTGGCTCTCGTGAGGCGGGTGGCACGGCGTGGCCCACTGCCCCAATCCAACCTGTCTGAGGTCGGGGATCTGCAACGTCAAGAGGCTTCTGAAGGAGGGGCTGAAAGGTCGGCCTCGGACTGGTAGGTTGGTTGGGGTTCTTGGTTTAGAGGAGGGGAGGGAGGGGGGGGGAGAGGGGGAGGAGGGGGAGAGAGGAGGAGGGGTGGTATGGTGGAGGATGGGGGGGGGAGGTTGGGAGAGGGGAAGGTTCAAGGATAATTATTTGTCTTTTCTTTTTATCGGACTTTTATTCTTTGTTGTTCTTTTTTCTTCGCTTTTGGTTTTCTTTTCTTCGGCATCCGTCTTTTGTTTCTTCTTTTTTATTCTTCCTCTTCCTTCCCTCCTTCTTCTCCACCATCTTGATCTCATTTTTCATCTCTTATTCTTCCTCTTATCATTTGTTTCTTCTCTCTTCTCGCAGTTCTTCGTCTCCTCCTCGTCTTTCTCCTTCTCCTTTCTTTTTCTT